ACCTCTGATATTGCTCTTTTTCTGATGCTTATCTTTCTGTTTTGTGATTTTACTATGATTTATCGTAAATAATGTTGAATGAACATGTAGCAAAGAAGAAACACTGGTATACTTGAGGCAGCTTTATCACAAGGGTGGATGATACTCCAGGCGAGAAAACAACACAGTATACGTTGAGGTCTGAAACGATCTGAAGAAGCTATTTTCGATCGGATAAATCTACGATGTCTTTGGAGAGATTCAAATCTTGAAAGCAGAGATGAGATGGTCGCACTCCTCTTAAAACACTGTAGACAATTTCTGTTTCTGGAAAACTCTTAAACGAGCAAAAAATAGGCTGAAACCAGGAGCAGAAAAAATCTGGGGCGACTATGCACGATTCTTGCAGAAACTTATCGCGACTATACAGGATTCTTGTAGAATAGGATTCGCGGCGCGACTCTTGCTAACTCGTGCCGCGATTTTAAAAACAAGGCACGACTCGCGCCGCGAGAACGCGATTTTCTTATATAACTAGCAAGATCTTGTCGCGAGAATCACTATAGCAAGACTTTATAGCGATCGCTAAAAGCGCGTCTTATTTCACGAGTCCTATAGCGATCGCGCCGCGATTTTTTAGCGCGAGTCGTGCCGCGACTTTCGCACGAGAATCGACCTGGGTAATTTTAGTTTTGTTCGAAAAAAAGAGTCAAAACATTTTTCGCTAGCGTACAGAACACTTTGATAATATTTATAGAAATTAACATAAATGTTCTTTCGAAGGCAAAGATATCACTTCGACCAGACCGTAAACTCTTGGACTATTAGATTTTAAAATTCAGTTTAGCGCAGTGATGAATAGTTTTGTGATCCTAATAGAGCGAAAGCAATGAGGGTATTCTCTTTGAATAGAGTACTTGTTTTGAGTATCATTTTTCTTATAGTAGACACTAATATTTTGCAAAGATTGCTTGGACCGAGTGACTTTTTAGTAAACATTTCGTTTTTCAAGTTATAAATTTTGTCTAAACTTAATTTTGTAAGCTCATTACAAATATGAGATTTGAACTAAAATAGTTTACAATAGAAATCATTTGGATTTATTCACAAATTTCATGTTGTACCTGCACGGTTCATAACTATTAACGAGAATATTTGCTTATCAAATAATAATTTACTCAAATATTACTGATGGTCTTCTCTGGTAAAAACCAATTAAATACAAAAAGAAGGAAAATAGAAAGAAGCACAATATAATAAGAAATGAAAACCAATTTATTTATACATTTCACAAAAGCAACATACATAATGACAGGCAGTAACTGCCAGCAAGTATAATACAATAATAATAATTGTGTTCACCACATGATAACGATAATATTCTCAATAAAAAATCATAAAATAAACAAACAATTAAATGAAAAAACAACTTAAAAGTATAAAAAAATAACAGTACAAGATGTCACACTAAGTTAGTATAAGATAAGAAATAGAAAAGGTCTAACGTAATGTGTACTACAGAACCCTAACCACACTAACTATTCTTGCTGCTCTTCTCTTTACACATCTATTCTTCAGAAGATTATTACTTTTCTACACTGAGCAAACTCAAAAATAGGGTAAAAAATTATGTGTAGCTTTTGACAAATTTGTTTCTATATGCATCAACAAGAGTATCTCCTTTTTTTCCACCGAAATTTCTAAGAATTTCCTCAGTTACTAAATCTGTCAACATATTTGATCCTAATGGAGAATTAATATCTAGAATGGCACATCGATCTTTTGCGATTTCATGAAAATTTTGTTCTGCTCTTTTTTCTACAAAAAATGCATGTACTTGAATCTTTTTCTCTAATTCATCAGCATAATAGATTGATTGTTTAAATTTAGTATTTTTCCAGTCATCCTCGCCGAGGTGCTTTCTCTTTTGCTCTACTTCTTGTTTTGTATTTGCGGGTACATCGCCTATCAATATTACTTGAGAAATACCTTCTTTCTCATTTTCTACATTTGCATGCCATAAACCGATTTCTATACCTTCATTACCTGCACCTCCTTCAACATTAATTTCTCTAGTGATTGCCTTGATACGTATTTCATCTATGAGAACAGAGAGAAAAAATGAAAATGGATAAAAAAAACTCTATCGACAAGCTCATACTTTAGGAAAGGCCTGAGATGGACGACGATCATCGTAGCTTGTATCCACGTAGATCCTGCACACTTGATGAAGGTTATGAATCTGCATAAAAACTTTTTCATCAGACAGAATTTTGTTCCTCGCGTTGTCGGTGATTACGAGCAAAATATTCTCATTCGAAGTCAATCGTAGGCATTCGAAACATTGTTCTATATTGTTATCGTCAAAATAGAGTATATCTTTTATTATATCTTCTTCAGCGAACTGCCTTTCTTGGTCAACACTAAAATTTGATCCGCCAATCCAAAACACTGTGAAGAATCTCTTATTGATTGATTCCATCGACGATGTGTACTGCTTTCAAAATGTTTGCACATGTGTATGTAATGAAAAATCGTACTGTAATGGCTTCATTCCATGAAATGAAGGAAAGAAAGAGTTTTTCACTCGTCAGACAGACATCGCACCATGTAATTATTCGTTTTTTTTTCTTCTATAGAAACCGAACAGAGAACAAATGAAAACAAAGAGATCGCGATCGATAGATCAAATAGGGACTAAGAACAATATCGATGTTTACAGTGTCTTCAGATGGACTGACTCTTTCAAAAGTAAAAATGTCTTCGAAAAGTTTTCATAAGATGGTTTATTTCGATCAAATATTAATACAGAACGGTATATAATAAACCGTAGAACAATTTTATTCAATTGTAAACGACCGTATATGATCACTTACGACGAAAAACGACAGCCATTTATATTAACCATTTACATCAGGTATATATGATGACCATGACAACACGGCAACTGTAACGACGTTGGGATAATGTCGTAATGTATCTCGTAAACAGTCGTTAATGTTGACGATCGGTCAATGGATGTGTTCCTTTTAGGAACCGTAAGACCGAGAGAGTTGAACCAAAGCTTAGTATACATGTTTTCTCTAGTAATCGTTATACTATATTTTGTTTCGGCTACTGATGTAAAAGATCGGCTAAAAATCAGATTAAAATCGCTTTTTCTAAAATAATTAGGAAAAACCAATTTCATGTATTACTTCGGGGCATCCAAAAGTATTGGCGGAGGCAAGGTGTCGACAATTCAAACTTCAAGTAAAAAATTTTTTTTACTTGAAGTTTGGCCTCCTTTTCCGCCAGTATTTTTTCGGTTTATTGCGGTTAACCGACGGTTTTTGATAGTACAACCGTATGGCTAGCGCACCCTGGCTGTTTCATTTTCGTTCCAGTCATATCTATAGTTCAGTATTTTATTACTT